CGCCCGTGCCAGCTGCCATCAGGCCCACCTCCTCTTCCCTTCTGCCGAGCGGAGCCCAGGTGGCTCTCACACGGCTCTCGCCATGGCTGTGCACTCATGGGAGCAATGAATGCTTTCCCTTCTGGGCTGCAGATATGCTAAGCCGATAACCATTATACAAACAAGAGGGAGTAATTATCTCATTAAACGTGCCGGCGGTACGCGGGCACCTCTGCTGTATTCTCTCACCTCAACTGAGGCTCTGTAGGGAGGAGCCTGTCAAAGGCGTCTTCCAGGAGCAAACCTTTACTTCTGAAGGGGATCACGTGTCAAAATAATTTGCCAGAGGTATACTTAAAAACCAGTTCATGCTTCTCTTTTTCTAGTAGTTCATGAAAGCTCCTGCCCCTGAGCAGCTCTCGTGTGTTTGCCTATATTCTGGGGAGTCCCAGGCCTGCCGTACCAGCTCAGGGTTTAAGGGCCATACAAATAAAAGTACTCTTGTCACTGTGAAGAGAAGAGCCTTGGTGGGGCGAGGAAAAGCCACGCAGGCCTCTGCTTTGCGAACTACTGAAAACAAGCTCAGTTTAAACCTGTGTTGTTCAAAGTGTGGTGGGCACGTTTAGTGGGAGAGGAAATACTCTCATGCTTGAGGTTCAGTGGATGTGTCAGTCTTAGCGGGATTAGGATCAAAAAGAGAAGAGGCAAAATGAGAGCCAGAAGTTGTTCCGCAGTTCTCTTTAATCCAACTTTCAGCACTTTATTGGGAATGATTTATATTTTTTATTTGTGTCAGAAAAGTGACACTGGAAGAATTATTGTAATTTGAATAAACATCTCCTTTCCGTCACGTTGGAATCCTGCAGAAGATACATCATCTTTGTATTCAATGTTATACAAACTTATTTAACAGAAATGGTAAGGCTGAGGGATGTAGTAGTGTGCTTCATTATAATGCACTTCTTACTAAGTTGTGTAGTTGACGAAGTATTTAAAGGTGCATCTTCAAAACGCCATTAAATGCACCATATTTGCATTCTTTGCTAATAAGATTGTAGTAGTTTCCATACTGTGTGACAGGACAGAGTTATCAGTGTGAGACTACACTACATTTTACTACTAGATATTGATTAATCTGTTTTGCTTGGATGTGTTTTGGGTAGTGCTGATCCTTCCTGAAACCACTGTGCTGGTACCACTGAGGCTACGGCATGCTGGGGGTCAGGGTGGGAAGCAGTCCTGGCGAGCAGGGAGAGGAGATGCCTTAAGGCTTGATACACTGAGACGCAGCAAGGAAAAAATATACCCTGTATGAGACAGGATCTATTTTCTTATGTTCTCACAAACATTTCCCACTAGAAATTCCTGTTTCCTATGTGTTGTGTTAATGGTTCATCATTGTTATCAGGTCTGATGATAGACACTTCTGCTTAATCATCACCTGAATTCTCCATTATTCTCTCTCTGTTCCTGATGTGAAATCCTGTCTGTGAGAAGTCTGTAAGGTCCAAGCACAATAATTTAGGCTTTGATCACATAAAACCTTTCATACTGTGTGACTCAATGCTTGTCTAGAATGATGGTGTAGTGTGATTGGCATCAGCCTTGGGAGCAAGTGATGAAACTCGGCCTGGAGACACCAGGGGATAGCCCGGGTCTCCTCCTCTGGCTCTGCAGCTGGGCCGTGCACCCGTGTGTCGCGAGGACAAGAGCGTTCGATGTGGACAGGGCTCTACCCAGTGGGCTTCTTATGCTGGGGCAGGGTCATCTTATCTCTGAAAGGACTGCTAAAAAAAGTCAGACTTAGTTTTGACTCTTTATTTTGATTGCTCTGCCTCCTTCTCTTGTTTTGTTTGTTTTGTTTCATTTTAGGTGGGTTCTATCATATCTGGGATCTGCAGGCTCCTGAAGGGAATATTTTAAATTTTAGCAAAACTGTAGTTGTATTTTATTCTAATACCGGAAGGCCTTCTTATTAATATTGGGAGTTAAAAACTTTGTAAAAACTTTCTAAAAATTTATATAAATTGTACAAAAAAATCTACTTATTAAATGAAGGTATTAGAATACTTATTTATTTATACTTACATAACTTGATCTATGAGATAATACAGCTTTAACTAGCTAGTTGTTTTTGTCGCATTTTGTCGTTTGCCAAATAATTTGACAAATTTGCCATAAACTCCCTGACGTTTTTGCTCAAAAGAGTTAGTTTTCTTTATTCGTTGCTGCCAGACAGGTCATGCATCTTTTCAGGCTCGAAGAATTTCTATCAGCTATTTACATGCAAGGCCACAAAGACAAAGCCAGACTCAGGCTGCAGCGAGCTGAACCGGGGCGATTCAGGACCAAAGGAGTTGCAGCACATAATTAAGCAGTAACTGCGCCCTACTCCAGAGACTTCATGTCTGGCAGTGTAAACTGCCTGCTTTACCAGTGGAAAAGGGGCATATACGTACTCATCAGAGACAGCACGGGAACAAGGATGGTAAAAATTGTTACTGAGTGACACTTAAAAAGTTTTTCCTTTCCTACTGCTTAGGCAGGGAATGTGACTAAAGATGGCTGCTGCCAGTTCCCTGCCGCCGAGGGAAGAAGATGCAACCCAGCTTCCCAGCTCTCGGTGCTGGGAGGAGAAGAAAGGGCAGGGCTGGGCATCGGTCTCTCCTTGGCGCTAATGGCAGCCGCCTTTGCTTTTACTCCCTGCGGCTGGGCTCCGAGCCAAGGGAATTATACACAGCCATGGCTGTGTGCTGAAAGGAGGAGGAGGAGGAGGTAGGGTAATCTTTCTCAAGGCTTCTTGCACCTCTCTCTGATGTTGGCAGCAAGTTTCTCTTCGCCTTGTAGTAATCTGTGAGGATCCAAGCTCCTGTCCCCCAGCTCACGGTACAACGGGAGCAGAGAGGTGCCATTAGCTCAGTTTTGGGGCAGTAAAAGAAACCTGGCATGCAGCAGCCTGGCCATCGTGTTGGCCGTTAGACGAGGGGGTGATACACCCCCACCCAAGGCAGCTGAGCGGCGTGAGAAGGGAAAGCCTTGAAGCTGGCGGCGCCACAAGCCCGTGCTTTAGTAACCAGGCAGGAGCTGATGGGGCAGCACAGGCGTCACTGGCAAGCTTCGAGTTGCCGTGTCAGCAACCGGGAAGTGATTTTTATGCAAGGGCATGCTGAATTTGATGTGAGAAGAAATATACTGAAGGGCCTTTTGGCCACACGAGTTATTTTTTGCTGATTTTCAGAGAAGTACCTCGAAGGAGCGGGCAATAGGGAAGAGGCAGCGTGGCTGTGAGGCTCCTTGGGCACCAGGCGGTTTTGGTGATGAGGAAGACGCACGCAGGCATGAGCTGGTACTGATGAAGGCAGCACCGCAGCGTGTTCCCACTGTAAATACGTGGACAAACAGGCAGAGGGAAGGGAAAGGTCTGGAGCTGCCACCACCTCTCTTATGCTGCCTGAAAATCAAAAGTGTACAAAGCAACAGTGCCCGGAGTCTCGTGGCAGGGCCTGGAAATCGACTCCGAAGGGCGCTCAGCACACCCTTTCTGAAGTCCTACGCAGATGCCATTGCCCGTTTGTTTGTGTGGCAGTGGAGAGTGTGTGTACGGAGGAATATATACAAGTTTGTCCAGCTGCCTGGGTTTAAAAAGCATTTTTCCTGCAGGATGCGTTTGGCCATGACTATTCATATATTTATTTATTGGCACCTAGTACCGAAATGAAGTCATGCCAACTTTTACCTTCTATAAACCTGATGGGCAGCTTTCCCAAGACGGCCGGCTTCTGCTTCCCCCCCAAGCCTGTGCTGTGCTGTCAGATGTGCTCTGGCTGGCAGGCTGCTGCCTGCGCTGTGCAGGTAGCCCTATGCGTCTGGAGGGTGGCTTACAGAGAGGAATCTGCAGCCATTTCCTTGTCTTTGAAGGTGTTCTGGCTCTGGCAGTCTGCTGACAGCAAAGTCTGTTTCCCCTCGCTTCTTGGGCATCTCTTCGCTCAGTGGGGTGGTTTCCTGCCATAACTTGTGGGGTTTCCTTGCAGCTTTCCCACTATCCCTTCTTTTTCTTGCTTGGACTGCAGGGAGCTCTGCTCGCACAAGTTCATTTCTACCCACGTGCCTGCCCTTGCAAAATAACCTTATGAGGGAGGTTGGTTTATTGTAGCAATAACCAGGGACTCTAGGCAAGTTGGTATTTCATACTTTGTCCAAAGAAACACATAGGAAGGTGCAACTTTTGCCTTGAAGACCTGTGACCGTAAGTTCTGCTAAACCTGGTGCATCCTCTAAGGTGACGAGGGGATGTATGTTACAGCTTCCAGGAAGGGGAACTGCAGAGTCACGTCAGTGTAATGCTGTACATCATCTGACTGGCGGGAATGAACTGGAAGTGAGAAAAAGGGAGGACAGGAGTGGTTTTGTGCCCGCCGTGGGGTGACAAAGGTTTGAGTAGCTCTGTGGCTGCTGACTGGCTGCGCTGCGCTCGTACAGGCGTGGGAGAGATCTCGGTGGGCTGGGACCCCACCAAAGTGAATGGGGATTGTAGGACTGGACTTCAGAGAGCTCAGCGTGAGCCCCGCTGTAAGAAAAATTCCCAGGATTTTACACACGTGAAGTCGTCTTTCAAAACCAGTCAAAATACTCGAGTACATGTCTTTGCCAGACTGAGATTTAGAAATTAACGCAATTTATGTGTTTGTTGCCCACGTGAATGTGAAATGATTATATTTATCATTTTATCATGTGATGGGGAGGGGAGAGAGTATCCTGAGGAGCTTTGTTATGTACATGGAAGCGTTTCAGCCTCTCTCTCGATTAAAAACAAACAAAAAAGGAAACTAAAAAGCAACAGCAAAGTTTGAAAGCAAGAAAGAGTTTTCTTGCTAAGTAACCTCAGAAGAGCATGTTTGAACAGAAATGCTACAGAACACCATCTGTTGCAAACCGGTGCTTTATTTGGTTTTATGCATTGGAAACTTTTTTTTTTATGCAAAGAAAAACACACAAAAAAGAGCATCTTTATTCTTTTGCAGAGAGCTGGATCGAACGATGTCTCAGTGAAAGTGAAAACAAACGTTATTCCAGTCACACCTCTCTGGGGAATGTTTCTAACGATGAAAGTAAGTAACTTGTCATTCATTTAAAATGAGTGTGAACGTGCTCACATGCAAACTTCTTGCCCTATATGGGGGTACAGCTTGGTGGTATTTTTAGTAGTCTGAAAAGTCAACTCACTTGACATCCAGTAGTACGGGTTTTTTGATGTGGGTTTTCTTGGGTTTGTGGTTGTGGGTTTTTTGTTTTGTTTTTTCTTTTTTTCCCCTGGAATATTTGCTGGTTTGCATTATTTAAAAGGAAGTAATACTATCTGTTAGTTAAAGCAACCAAAAGTATTTCTGTGTCACTGAATAAAATTTGAATGACCTCTAAAATGTGCTGTTAGTAGTAGCTCATGAGTAAAACCCTCTGTTTTGCTTTTCACTGGTGAACACCATGCAGTTGAAATACAGGAAAAACTGTGCTGTTTTTCAATACTACTATATCAAATCGTACATCTAAAAATATTTTAAGAATTAAACAATCATCAGATTGAAAAAATCACATCTTAAATCTTTAAATTTAACTTTTTAGTCATAGAGAGGAAACAATTCTAAATCTAGCTGACTTAAAAATAGCTTTCTTTCTTATCTCTTCTAGTTATAGTAATTCAGATCTTGATTTTTAACAGCAGCATGTAATTTAAGACCTCAAAATACCTTCAGATAACATAAATGTATCTTTTTGAAACTGTAAGATTCATTTAAGTTCACCATTAAGTTTTCCTTGTTTATGTACTTTCTCTTCTATTTAATTTGCTTGAAGCAAAATATTCTTCACATTAGTTTTCCTCTGTGCTTCACACGTCAGTTTTTTACAAGATACTAATGCAGACTGAAGTCTTTAATTTAGATTTTTGTAATACTTTTGTAATTTTTGTAATATTCAAGCACATTAGTTTAGAAAATGTATTTTTAATCACTTCTTAATTGCTGCATTTCCCCCTTACATTTTTTGCATTTGAAGAAAACTACTTTGATGACAATTTTGATGTCACAGTATAATTACATGTCTTGCAGTGCAGTGTTTCAGTGGATCACGGAATTTGCTCCATTTGGGCCCTACGCTTATTTGTCCAGGGATCTCTTTTGAGGCAGTATGTCTTATGAAGGAGAAAGGAGGTGTTAGAAATGATATTTATTCGTGGCTCCCAAGATAAGAACAGAGGATAAGAATCCTTAAAGATGGACAATAAAACTTGGATGTGTTTCTGATTTTTATAAATTAAGGAAATAGAAATTAGTTTATCTTTAAACATAGAACTGTAGTAAAAACCAAAAATCATCTGCTTGTTTATTTGCTTTTTACAAGAACCTGTGAGACTTACAAGATTAATTTTACTCGGATGTTACTGAGAAAGTGATGGAAAGAATCTGTAATGAAGATGTGACTTCAGATTCTTAATAGAGTCAGAATTCAGGAATCAACCCTATTGACTTTAGTGAGCTTTTCCTTGGACTCGCAGTTCAAGACAGTATTGTCAAGGGAATTATTTAGCACCACTAGATCTGTTTTTTAAAAAATTATAATGTCATAATTATGTCTCCTTCTATGTTTTGTCCTAGATCTATAACCCTAAATAGGTTGCAGGGTGGTTTGCTATATGTGCTTTCAGTTTAAATGTGAGCATAAGGAAACTCCCATGTGCTCTGGGACAGCAGGGAGTGGACCTGTGTGGGTTAGCAAGGGCAGGTGTTTCAGACAATGGCTTTGGGAAGATAGGGTGGTTGCTTGTTCTGCTTTCTGGTGCTGGAATTAGGGGCAAGAGATGGTAATGAGAGGCAGCAAACTTAGAACTCATAAAACAAACATATCAATCCATTTATCCCACATTCTGTGCAGAAGACATTATATAATGTCACAGTATATAATGGAAACCCAAATGAGAGCAAGAGTTGATTTCATCTATCTTCCTTCTTAGCAGCCAGTTCTTCCAGATGCTTCATTTGCACTGATACCAGCATTCTGCAGTGCAGATAAGGCAATTAATCCACCTGAAAAGTCATCCTTTTGGGTGTGAGAGGGTGAACAGGAAGGACTAGGAAGGAAAAATAAGCCACTTACCCAGCAGCAAGAAGACCAGTAATCTTTGTAATCCAGAACAAACTAGAAGTTTTGCCCTAGAAATCATTGTATTATGTGTGCCTTTCCAGACCTTGAGTTCTTTCTAACACTTCTCTAACAGTCCCCACACACCAACCGGGGAATTTCCAAACCATTGTGTCACGTTGTGTTCAGCCTCCCTCTTGCGAACAGCAGGAGGCAAAACGTTTTGTGAAAACCTATGAAACCCTATTTGAATCCTTCAAAACAACGGTCAAATTGCTGTTGTCAGTGGAGCTCTGGTTTTCATCTGCAGCGAAAAGAAGGCATCATCTATCTTTCTCTTGGTTACTTAGTTTTTGGTCTCTGAGTACATTACGTAGGTGCTGGCTGGGCTCTACCAGGGAAAATGTAGCTTTGGTGCTGGGTTTTTTTTTTGGCTTGCATCTAGTGAAGACTAAGAATTTGCACTGTGAACTGATAATGTTCTTACTCAGTTTTCTGCTTGCTCTTGTGACTGTTTCCTGGATGTTTTTAGAGCTCACAGGGCTTTAGGACAAGGGTAATAGTTTTGCTGATCTTCTTTTCAATGGTTGGGGCATGCACTAGAATCATACTTCAGGGCACAGGCCACAGGGGTTCTTTGCAAACTCCTCTTCTCACCCAGACACCTCCAGGCCTCCTGAACTTGCACTACATTATGAAGGGAAGCAATGGCTCAGAGCTGTGGATTCCCATTGTCTCAGTGCTGCTTGGGGTGCTTCTTACCCTCTTGGAACCCTTTATGACCTCTCCCCCAACACAGCTTTAACACTCTAATATAAAAATTCTAGGTAAATTTTATTTCTTTTCAGTGTTTTAAACACTTTTCCTTCCACCACTTCTACTCTCTACATCTTAGTCAAAAGATCTATGATTCTATGATCTAGAGGAAAGGGAATGGTACAACCTCATGTCCAGTAATTAAAAATAACCCCAAACCTCACATTTTTTTGTGTACTGTTCATTGAGCCAGATCTTCAAACTGAAATAGGTGTCACAGAATACAATTCAAGCGTTAGGAAAGCTTCAACTTCAGTTCCCTGAGGGAGGAGTCATGATGTTACCTGAGGAAGAGGAAAGGTTGCTTGTCCAAATTTTTTTGATATTTAGAAATGTGACTGTGTAGACAGCTCTTATGAGAGAAAGGGAAAGATTCAGACTACTTTTTGCACTTCAAAAGCAGTGTTCAAAATCCATGTTCAAACCAGCTGAAATGGAAGATTTATCCAATAGTGTGGTGTGGTGTTTTGTGGTGGTGTTTGTGTGTGGTGGTTTGTTTTTTTTTTTCTTTTTTTTTACCTAAACCTCTTATTCTTCCATTGGAAAAAAATGTTTAAAACTCAGCTACTTGATTTCATTGAAATACTCCTTGGGGAAAATTATTTCTTTTTCAGTCATGCCTACTCAATTAGAACTATGCTCCCATGTTTCTCAGGCGGTTTAAAAATTCCCACTATTTTAAAAGCATGGAATACGTGCTAATGAGCCCGAATCTTATTTATGGCTACATGTAAGTAAATTCTTACTATCACTTAAATTTAGCTAAGGGCAAATCACTCTTGAGAACAGTCAGAACCTGGACTACAGGGGCTCTTCCCTGCAAAAGAAGAGCAGGCTCTTCCCTGCATCGTCAGAGGAAGAAGTTATTCTTCTGAAAGGTGTGACCTAAGGGAAGGATTTTATCCATACAAAGGTATTAATAACATATTAGCTCCTTAGTGTTTTAGAGACATGCTCAGGCAGCACTGAGAAGTACAAGACTCTTCTGTTATCTCCACAGTGGAAAGCAGAGCTTTAACTCCACTTTAGTTATGACAAACATCCACATTCTGGAAGAAGTTGTACTAATGCAGGGTCTTCACTTTGGGTTGTTCCACTTACTGTGTTTGAGACAGCATCCTTAAACAACTGCTGAGCATTGCTGCTATTGTCTCTCTGTTTTGCTCCAAGAAGCAAGAAACCCCTTGAGCTGGACTTAAAACCAGACAGCAGGAGTTAGAGGATGCTACTGGGAGTCCAGAGAAAGCCACAAACATATGCACAGGGTACAAACAGAACTCTATTCTGGTGGCTTTGAAAGGGTATTTTGAAAAGAGAAAGACAGAGCTGTTAGCAAAGAAACTTCCATGGAATTTGGGAAGAAAAAAATTGTTATCTCTGAGAGCCAAGAAATATTATTTTTCTAGTACACTGATGATCCCTGTTTTGAATATCTTTGAATCCCTCTTCCATGCTGAGACATTTACTTGCAACTCCCCAATCTATTATTTGCTTTCAACTTGGGATGAGTACCAGGTTTCCTACCTAACCAGGCACCTCGAAGATACCTTTCGTTGGAATGCTGATAGCCTTTCTATTGGCAGTGGAGTGAACACTTTAGATCTGCTCCTAGCAAATCAGTTGCTCTTTGAGGTGCTGTGCACCTCATAAAATGACAGGCCAAAAAGTAAGTGAAAACAGCATTCCTTACTGCTTTCATGATGTACAAACGGATCTGGGATCAAACCTGAATCGAGTGTTACACAAAACATTCCTTGTTCTATAGGGAAGGCATCAAGTGCCTTGCTACTAAGTAAAATATAAGGAATATCTTTATTTTTTGCTAGTCAATTAATTGTCTGATGAGATTATATTGTTAAACTCAAGGTAGAATAAAGAGCTTGTTTATGTAATACTGCAAGTTTGTATTTCTAGGTCCCCTTCATTCTTGCAACATGTGCAGTTCTTTCCATCTGTGTAATAAATAAGTGAAAGTTTTCTGAAAATAAATATTTTAGCCAACACCTCATGAAAATGAGAAACATTTTGGCTGACTGCTAGTCAATTGGCAGAAAACAAACAAACAAAAGTTCTCTTTTCTTGTACAGAGACTTGATTTTGGGGGGACATAAGTGCTAACTGTGAAAAATTTGTTTTCTTGAAAATCCAATTGTTCAGTGGGTAATATTTTTGATGGAAAATGGTGCTTAAAGATTTATTTTTTGAATAAGTTCAAAGTCTATAATTTTCCTTCTTGTTTTTAAGGGTTAGTCAGTTGGAGAGTGTTGAAGAGTCTTGAAAAAGGATCTCCAGGAAGCAGACATACCTTAGGAGGGAGATTTAAATTGCAGTTTATGTTCTTATCTTTAGTTTTTGTTGTTAAAACAAACCCTTACTTGGGAGTGGCTGCAGTAGTCTGGCTTGTAGTGTGGCTGACAGTGGGTTAGGTAAAGCACCTGCAAACAGGTCCTCACTCTTAGTGTAAGTGAAAAACAACTGGGGAAGGGATGGAAGGGATGTAGGGACTCTACTATTGTATAATTTAGATATTGACTTGATGTCTGATAGACTGCCATGTATCCAGGGGAAAATTAAGTCTACTTAGCTGAGGTGAAATCCAGGTAATAAGACCTTTGAATTTTAGCCCCTTAAATCAAGAAATATAATAAGATGTTTTATTCTGGGGAGGAGGGAGTAGTACCACTTGGTTTCACTGGCAGAGGTTTAGGATTTCCACACTTAAGCTAAACGAGGGGTTATTTAGATCAGTGGCTTTCAGCCTTTCCAGTTTGCATCCCCCCAGCGATTTCCAGCAAGATCGAAACCAACTGAACTTAAACTGCTGGATGGCAGGCTTTGACACCGGCATTGGAAATACTGATTAAGAAAAGGGATGGCTTTCACCTGGGAAGCAGCAACCTTAATTTGGACAGGAAGATGGTGGGGCACAGGAGGAGGATTGGGCTCCCACATGCTGCTGATCCCTAAAGGCAGCAGCTTTGGTGGCTGTACCTCTCCCCACAACAGCAAAGGCCAGAATCTCTGGGGTCAACAGAAAGGCTCCTCAGTGCCCTGCGTTAGGGGTCCCAGCTGTTGAGGGCTGTGCACCCCACATGACTGCCAGCTGTAATTTTCCTTTTTAAAGCAGGGGAGCACCTTCCTCCCCCCCAGCCAGCACTCACCCCCTGCAACACCTTGCTGGGATGAACGTTCCTAACTATCTCCCTTTCGTTTTACCTCAGGAATGGCTGGGAGGCTGCCAGCTGCCGGGCACACGCAGGGCCTTGGCAGGGCAAGCCAGCACCGCCCGTGGGTGAAAGAAACTACAGCAGTCTCAGTCTCTGTGTCCCAAGCCTGGGGAGCAGCTATAAATCCTGCGTGTCCCTCCCAGCCCCGCTGCCTATTTTTCCTCTGCAGTGGCTGGGTGCAGGGCTGGACCGAGCTCATCAGTCCACCTGCCTCTTGCCCCTCCAATGGCACCCATGGACCTTCCACACCAGAGCTCACTTGCTCCCCCAGCAGGTGTTCTTGCATCTCCAAGCCAGAGTCCCTCATTCCCTGTCACGGGGAAAACCGTGGAACTCAACCCAGAAGGCTCTTCCCAAAGCAGACCAGGGCAGACATGGCTGCCCTCTCGTCCCCAGGCCTCTCCTCAAGGCTCAATCCAGACATGCTCTTCCTAGGGTGTCTGTGCCCTCAGTTATGGGTAAGAAGGGAAGAAGAGTCAGTGTTGGAAGAGAGGATGGCCCTGACTATGTTATCCATGCAGTAGTTTAAATCTGTGCTGCACGGCTCTGCCTCCCACCTCAGAGAAGACATTTGTCCTGCCGGGGGTTGTTGTTGGGCCTCAGCAGCTGGTGGCAGCCACGGCTGCTTGGCATTCAAGCCCTGTGTGCTGAAGGTTTGTTACATGCCGACCGTTTGTTTAGGAAAAACAAATGAAAACCACAATTTAAAAGTGATTGGAAATGTGTATGTTGGTCCTATGTGCTGAATAAAAGCGGGCCCCTGAAAGGCAGGGAAGGAGTGTGCAGCCCAATAATTAGAGGCCTATTGTCATGCAGATGCAGAAGAAGGGCTGCCCTGCTCCCAGTGTCTGCCTGCAACTGTAAATCTGGATTTTCCTGATGTTCAGGGAACCATCCTTGCAGGCTGAAGGATGTTTGGTTAATACAACTTGCCCTATATGTAATTCAAGAAATACTGTGGTGCAAGGGCTGAAGGCAGCATTTTCCAAGGTGGGGTTTGATTTGTGTGTACTGGTTCTTGGGGCTGCACAAAAGGCCCTCCCAATGGGGCCTGATGTTCAGAGGAGATAGCCCAGTTCCCTTAGGATTCAGCATCCTAAAGGCTCACTTAAATAACTTTTGAAAGTTGATTTACGAAGAAATGAAACGTACAGCATGGTGTACAGGCACAGTGGCTTACCTCGTTGTTTAGGTATCGAAGCCTTTTACACATAATGCTTTCATCAGGGACAAAGCTGTTAAAATACAAAACTGTTTTTGATACAACAGTGTTTCCCAAAAAATACCCTTCTTGGAGATGCTGATTGTGCTTCACTTCCAGCTTTCCCTTGGAAATTTTTATATGCTTCACAAATCACAATGTAATAGGGATTATTCTAGACTTTTAAATTTTTCCAAAGAATAATGTGAACCACAAAAAATCCTGTAATTTAAACTAATAAAGAAAGAGAGAATGGAAACAAAACTAATCTTTTATTCAAATTTTTGGAAAGTCAACATATCAGAGAGTTACCTTGGAAACATTTAATGAGGAATAATATCAGAAAAAATATCTGAAAAGGAATAAATTATATTAATTCTGAACAAGAAAAATTGAAATTAAAACCACTTTATAATCCTTGTAAATTTGTAAGCATCTACTATATATCATATGTCAGGATCACAACAGGGGATGAACCCCATTAGGTTCAATTCCTCATGTAATACAAAACTAGAGTGAGGCAACTGTTCCCTTAAGGCAGGTGAAAGTCTTTTTAATGTTCTGACATCCTGCTAAAGGTCTAAGAGTCAAGTGTTTGTTTGGGTCTTTTTTTTTTCTTCCTATAAACTTATCCTTTCCAATGTCATTATTTCTGTGCACCACTCTACTCTTGCTTGGCAGTGATGTTTGCAAGCTTTATTGCCTTAAGCAGTGTCTACAGACGCTAGCTTAGGGAGCATCATTATTTACATTTTCACAGTTTAACAATAAATTTTGGGAAAGATTTGAGACCTGAACATTTTTTATCAGATAATTCAGTTCACAAATGCCTGAGAGTTTCCCACTGAAATTACATAGTATTTTTTTTTTTCGTAACAGATGAGGAAAAAGAAAATAATAGAGCATCAAAACCACACTCGACTCCAGCTACACTGCAATGGTAAGATGCCTTTTTAAAAAAATAAAATCAACTAAACCTGCAAATGTGTTTTCTTATCCTTTTTCTAGCTGAAGTGAATAGAGGTCCTGGACATCTTATTCAGTTCTAAAGATACTTTCACTGTATGTGTTTAAGCTGCTCTTTAGTATCCTGCACAGCATTTCTTAACAAATGTCTTACTCTTACGGGTTTTGTTTGAACATAAGAAACCTTTGATACAGTTTACAAGATCTATGTGGCATATTTGTTTGACACCTTGCCAGGTGGTGATTTGTGGTTTGTCAGCTTTGTTATATTTCTCACAAAAAGAAGACTAGTACTGTGATTTTTTTCCAAGAATCATGTTTGCTTCAGTGTATGGAGTAGCCCACCTTAACTGACTGTCGTACTGAAATGAGGTCTTGGTAATTTAACATAGAAAACAACAAAAGAGTTTAAGGTTTGACTTATTTGCTAAAAATCCCTTGCAAATTTAGTGATGGGGGAAAAGGAAGGGTGATTAGGAAGAGAGAAAGAGGGGATGGGGAGAAGAAAGTTTGAGAGTCAGTCTCCTGTGCTATGAAAAATGAACAAGTGCTGTTCACTGTGATTTACAGCAGCGTTTATGGCTGTGTATTCTGTTACATTGCCTATACTTCTGACATCCCTTTCTATAGGTTATCTCTTAGACTTCTGTTGACTTTTCTCTTAATTTAGGTTTTTAATTCTGGTTTAGCTTTCTTAATGTTGTAAGTGATCAAGCATGTTTCAGGAGGTTCCTTGTAGCTGGCAGAACAGAGCTTGGTTACAAAGAAGCCTTGGAGCATGCTTCTCTGAAAACCCGTATTCCTTACCTTGTTTTAAGCCTTTTAAGGAAAGGCCTTTGCTTAATCTCGAAGTACTTCTCATAGTTTTGAGAATAAAAAGATAAAATATTGGGGGAAAAAAGATTGCCTTTTTAGCAAAATGTTAGCAAAATTATTTTTCTGCTTTTTTAAGTCTCATGAGAGATCTAACTGAACAAAGAGCAAGAGTAATTAATTTGGTGTATTTTACTCTTTTTCTGCCTGTGAAATTCTGTGATTCTGTGAAATATACATAAAGAGGTTTATAGGTTATTTCATTTGTATTTGCTCTTTAATGTTCATTGGTTCAATTTTAGATTTAAAAAAAAAACCCAAACAACCAAAAACAAAACCTGTGGGTTGATTTAGAATAAGTTTCTCCAAGTATTCAGTGTTCTGCCTTGAAGAAACTTGCAGACATTTCCAGTGCAAATACTGAAATGTGCAAATATAAATAAAGGAAAAAAAACCATAAATATTTTTGATTTGTACCTATTTGTATTACCAAAGTGCAGTTTTTCAGAGATTCAAGAAAAGTGAATAGAGTGAATAGAGACATAAAATTGTTAAAACAAAAACGAATTGTCATAGATGTATTTTACTATTTTCTGTTATTCACCCCAACAACTTCAACACAGTTCGAGCAGGATAACAAAGAACTATCTAGCTAAAATAAAATCACAGGGAGGGTTTACCACTCCCAAATTCAGAGCAATGTTTATTTTGCTGTAGATTCAGTTAGAAGTCTTTTCCACAGGAGCAAATAACATAGTAGCCAAGAAGTCAGAGTTAATTAGAACATGCCAACGATACTCTTCCCAACAGAAAACACGCAAATACTGTAAACAATCTTTTGCCAAATACTTTCAAGCTTCCTCACTCATAAAGGTCAGTAAATCCCTAAACTCCTGGGAAATTGAGCCCGGCTGGAATGCAATCTGCACGCTAATGCTCATTCAGCAGTGTTTGCAATAGAATCCTAGAATTTTGATTCTGAAAAGGCTGCTTACATCATCTTTCATTCCCCCTTGCTGGTGCACTGGCTTACTACCTGTCTGTTGTGTTCTGTTTCTTACATGTTTAGGTAGGTCAGACATTCTCCCTTTGAGTCTTCTGCAGCAGCTGCAACTTCCTCCATTCCATTTTCCACCCAAAAAATTCAAGAGGGAGAAGAAAGCAGAAAAGTTTTCAAGTTTAATTTCTTTAGCTGGTGTCAAACTGAATGACACGATCTGCTCATTAATAGACCACTAAGGAAAAGTTTCCCAGCTTAGTATCTGTACCATGGAACAATTTTCTGGAGGTTTCCCACATAGGTTTTTCAGCCTACGTGCTGCAGCTTTGAATTGGTATTTCCTGGAGAAGCTCTGATGGTGGGTTTGATACACTAGATACAATGACAAGCTCAAATGTTATGGTTAGATTGCTAAAATAGTAAGTTTGCTTTCTGTGAAGATGTCGAGTTCCCACTATTCTGGAAAACAGACACATTAGTGTCAAGTTATTGTACTAGTAACGCATGGGTCAGTAAGCTATTGTGGTCAGATACCACTCTGTACCAATGCTGCTGTGAGTGCTTCCGTTAAATCTAACTTTGCATGTTTGACAGTTTTGCCTGCTTAGGCCTCAGACCAAGTTTTTGCACAGTGAGGAAAGACAAAAGACTGAATTTATCTGAATAAACCCTGGGTAAGCATGTGTCCTACATTCCTACTGGAATCTCTGGGCCACATTCAAGTGACGGAAGTGCTGAAATTATTGACCAGATTTCAGGGTAAAGTACTAAACTTGCCTTGTTCTGGCAAATGGAAGCACCTCGACTGTCTGCAGTGTCTGGTTGGTGTCTGCCAAGGTAAAGCTGGTCATGTTTTTACTGTTAGATGCTACTGTCATTTACAGCTAATGAAGGCAAGCGCGTGTCGGAGAACAGAAACAGGACACCTCAGTAGCAAGGGAAGAGGAGGAAAGGGAAGGAAGACATAAGGGAAATACCTAAATTTTGTCACGTAGTTCATATTGCCATCACCTTTATTAGTTATTTCTTGTCTAGCACCTTGCTGAAAAGAATGATGAACATAATTCCCTCCCATGGGGATCTATCCTTAATACTGACACCTCTCCAAAGGCAAAGTACATTGAATGGTGCAAAAGAGGAAGGGGAGGAAGTAGCTGAAGATGCCAAAAGCATGTCTGGATGTTTGTCGGCTTGGCTAAATATCCTCTTCCTGGAAATAGGAATGATGTTTTTGGTGTTTTGTTCATGACACAAAATGAAGTGAAAGGCCTGGTAAATGTAGCACTACTGCCAAATGCATCGTAATTGGGCAAACTACGCAAGCTTCAATTTAGCTGTTACGATATGAATATACCAATACCTAGCATTCTGTGCTTAGCCCATGTTCCTCTGTTCATTGTTTTCTGTACGGCTGTAGCTTATAGAATCATAGAACCATTTAGGTTGGAAAAGACCTTTGAGATTATCAAGTCCACCGTTAACCCAGCACTGCCAAGTCCACCACCACACCATGTCCCTAAGCACCACATCTGCACCTCTCTTAAATACCTCCAGGAATGGTGACCCGACCACCTCCCTGGGCACCCGTTCCAATACCCGTTCCAATGCCCGTTCCAATGCCTGACAGCCCTTTCAGTGCAGAAATTTTTCCTAATATCCGATCTAAACCTCCCCTGGTGCAACTTGAGGCCATTTCCTCTTGTCCTGTCACTTGGGAGAAGAGACCAACCCCCCACCTCTCTGCATCCTCCTTTCAGGCAGTTGTAGAGAGCAATAAGGTCTCCCCTCAGCCTCCTCTTCTCCAGGGTAAACACCCCCAGCTCCCTCAGCCGCTCCTCACAGGACTTGTGCTCCAGACCCTTCCCCAGCTCCATTGCCCTTCTCTGGACACGCTCCAGCACCTCAATGTCTGTCTTGTAGTGAGGGGCCCAGAACTGAACCCAGGATTTGAGGTGCAGCCTCACCAGTGCCCAGTACAGGGACACAATCCCTGCCTTAGTCCTGCTGGTCACACCAGCCAGGATGATCCTGATACCAGCCAGGATGCCATTGGCTGCCTTGGCTACCTGGGCACACTGCTTGCTTAACTCTAAAATTTTATGGTTATTTCATTAGTGAACTGTTTGATTGAACTGTAAGTTTGAAACTTTATTCTACCTCAATTTGCTGTCTGTGTCTACTTCTCCAAACACAGAATTATTCAAATCATGGACACACTAATTCCATGCAGTCTGGTGGTTTACAGTGTAGGTGCTCCGAATAACAACAGTATCATGAAGCTAAAGTCAACAAAACCATTCCCTTTTTTGTAATGTTCATAAAAAGAAATAAAGAGAAAGGTAAAGCACTGTTAGGTAATGGATTGTCTCCAGATTAGTAGCTTCGCAAACATTATAATGTACCAAAATGAATCTGTTCTAGAATCCTTAATGTGATTACCAATGGTATCATCACAGTTGTTCTGTTGCCTGTAACTAAAATCAAGTCTGTAACAACACTACAGACCTGCCTCTGCTATAGAATAATCTCATTTAATCTGGAAGTATATAAGTATAAAGAGGGAAACAGTAATAGGGACAGATAAAATTGTCATTCCTCTGGAAGGATTAGGGGTTTTATTGCTACGCTGTAGTGGTACAAAAGGTCTCATTGTGAACTACTGGCTTTATTAGGACATTTAAAATGTTATATATATATTATTTCTGATAATGATTTGTTAGGTATAAGATTGAGTTCATTATCTTTCTATAATACTGTAGAATGAAGCTGAATTCAAAATATGATAAAGTTGTTAAATAAAAGACAGGAAAATAAAAGAAGTGGAGCAAGATGGGGTTTTTGATCATTAAAAAAAAAGTTCAGGTATAATGGAGCATTGTTCAGTGTCAGACTAATGACTCTCTCTGAAAGAGAGGAGAAAAAGAGAAAAATTCATCAGATATGAACAGAAATAATTAACTGCTTTTCTTTCTGTCCTGTCTTGGTCACGGAAGCTGACATCCCAATTAGCAGCTATAGTATACAAACGAACTCTCCAGGTTTGAAAGGAGGTTTTGTTAAAGCGCTATGAATTTGAGGAAAGATGCCGTGATGATATTTCTGTGGAAACCAAGGAAGAATAGATGTTGCCCATACAAACTGATTCCATTCATCTAGCCGGATATCTTATTAAAATAGTTTCCAGTCACAAATGATCACGATAACTGAAATGGGAGGTAGGTAGGTCGGTCCTGAAAAAGGCAATGAAGGAGAGAAACTAGATATTTGGAAGGTGATCTACAGCTATCAAATGATGGGGGACTGTTTACTGTAAAATTGGAGATTTTGAGAACATGTGTTTATTTTTTAGTATTTTTAAGAGGAAGTTGCACCTACCACCTTGTCCTAGCCAGCAAGGCAGACAAGCACACATGTAACTATATACACAGCTGAGCGATACCGTGGTGACAAGATTAATTAAGGTTTAAAGTTAAGTGTGTATGTAAATACCTATTGAATGTTGTTGTTGGATCAGCAATCATAACATTGCCATTTCAAAGAAATATTTCTTCTAATCTATACATTTATAATAAGCCCATTTTCGGATTTTAAAGATGAAGCATATGCCTATTCATATATTTGAACAATACATAATCTAAAATTTTATACTTGTGTGTTTGCACGTGTAAATGAATAATAACAGTTTCGACAAGGTTGTTATTTCAGTATTTTATTCAACATCATGTTCAGACTATGGACTTTTTGGGTTTTTTTGGGGTGGGTTGTTTTTGGGTTTTTTTGGTGGGGTTTTTTTTTGGTTGGGGTGTTTGGGTTTTTTTTTCTTTTTTTTTTTTTTCCACTCTGTCCATAAGCAAAACCATTATACAGGTATGATTTCATGCACATTGTCGAGTATTTGCAAATAACCTGCTTTAGCCACATCTGCTTCCTCAAGGTAAGGAATTTTGCAGCTGGACAGAGGTGAGAAGGGTGTCATGAACAGAAGGTGGCCTGTCCTGTAAAGAATGAGAGAATGCTTCCACTCAGGGAATGTTTGTTGCTTCGTAGTTGTGGGTATATTTGTTTACAGCAGGATGCTTTTAGAGTATATCTTTTCCTAAAAATAGCATTTTGGAGCATGGTCAAAACCCAGTACCACTTTGTGCTAATTTCTGTTTGCCTGAGCACTCACAGCCTATATTTTTGATAGCAAATATGAACCAAATGAAGCAAGTAGGTGCTATGGAAGTGAACTGGAAGCACTTAGGAAAAAAGCAGAGAAAATTTAGTAGACAAGCAGAAGCCAGACCATTTGGTCTTAATGATGCAGCTTTGCATACTGTTTACCATACAGGACATCCAACACACTTGCAGTTCTCCCTGTTTGATATTTGCTTTTTAAGGCTGGAGGAGAACTATGAGATTGCGGAAGGTGTTTGCATTCCTCGGAGTGCTCTCTACATGCATTACTTGGACTTCTGTGAGAAAAATGACACGCAACCTGTTAATGCCGCCAGCTTTGGGAAGGTGAGTATAAACAGCAGTATGATGTCTTGAGCTCTCACCTGGTTCAGGTGAATTTGCGTTATTGAAAAGACTGAAATCATAATTTAGAGATAGAGATATCATTAGAGAGAGAGGTGTGTGAACGGAATCTCTTTTGTATTCAATTTATTGACAGAGGATAAGATTTTAAGTGTTTTGACAGTTGGAATAATTTCTAATCATGACTGAGCCTCAATACACTAGATTTTTTTATGACTTCAGTCCCCAGCCTAGCTGACAGTGACACAGTATACGGTATTGACAGCTTGGAAGTTGAATACAAGCCAGTGTTAACACATCTGCGTTGTAACCTGCATTGCTTTAACAAATATTTTTTAAAGACAGAAGGGTAAAATATCATTGAATTCTGGACCCTGGCTATGCCATTCTTGTAAGCATGGTACGGAGATCCCTGAATTAATGATATCAGCCCACACTGGCCATTCACATATTGGAGTACAATGCTTCCAGATGTGAAAGTCCAGAAAGCATCTAATAGCATTTGTGTGGCACTGCAGGTACAGGCTGCCAAGTTATCTTTGCACTGTGATTCCTTGTGCACCCACTTTCCAGTCCAGCTCTAATAAGAGCCACCGTGGTTAACTCCAGGCTGACAGCGGAGACGCGCTCTTAGCACAGATGCAGCTGTGCGTTGCCCAGATGTGAGCAGTAAAGCTTTTCTGCTGTACATCACTAGCTAACATTAATGGCTAGGATGTTACATAAAGTTCTTGTTTTGGATTTGCTGGTCAGGTGATGTTTTCCTTCCAGTGAAAAAGGATGATATTTTTATACTTTTAGTTTTTTATTTAAAACTGAAATTTTACTCTAGAATGTGTCACAGACTTATAAAACGTGTAGGCTGTGAAAAAACCCAAGAGGTAGAGTTTGCCACTGTTTTTGAAATGCTTGCAAGCATGAATCTGAAGCAGATTGTCCTGAAAGCTGTTCTGTTCTAGTGTTTGCAACATTTATTTTGTAGAAGTGCTGGCTATTCAAAGAAGGAAAATGTTCCTAGGGTAAGTGCCTGTGTAAAGAGTAGGTGAAGGAGAAGAATGTATTTCATGAGGTATCATTTTCTATAGTGCATCTTTATGTAGGCAGCTTAGCAAAGCAAGTAGAACGTACCATTTTGCAATGTTACTATGTTTGTTATGTCTTAAAGATCTGTGTAGCTGAGTTGATTCTGTTAGGTTTCTGTTTAAACACACTGCTTAAGTGTGGATGACGTGGTTTGTTCTGTGTATTATTGCTACCAAGTGGTATGTAGAGTGGCAACGTGTCATTTAGGAATAGAGAGAACAAGAAACAGGTTTTGTGTAGGCTAACACATTTGGAATGTCAATAAAATTTGCATGATGCTACTTTTGCTACTGCTAAAACCTTCTATAAATTATAAGGTGTAAATATTCTGAAATCATTTCATCAGAACATAAATATACTAGGGACTTCACCAATTTTCAGTGTGCAGCAGTCTTATTACACAGCATAGTACTCCATCCTCCTCCTTCCCTGCCCCTCATACCCACACACTGGGACATCAGCAGGAGTACCTTGACCTGGCAGAACAGGTACAGTGTCTTCCATCCAATGATCATGGCTTTCTAGTGTGTTTTTCATGTGCTGTGTTCTGAGTGTTTTCCACTTGGTTGCAATAAAGTTCTGAAGCAGTGATGCATGAAATTTGTTTCCCCTTTTTGTGGAGAGGAAGCCATACAGAATCGTCCTAGCGCCGTCCCAAACTAGTGCTTCGGCTGGCCATCACTTTTGGATCTGGAAACTGAGGCTTCTGCACAGGTGTGTCCAGGAACCTCAGACAACGCTGGCACAAATACTGAAGTGAAACGGGCTTCTGCATCTGCAGAACCCAGAGCAGACCCCAGCGATTCCTTCCACCCTATTATTGCTAAGAAAATGTACTGCAGAGTCATGAAGATCTCCAAGGCTGACACCCACTTCTTTCAGTCAGCTGTTTGCAGTCAGCTTCTCCTTGGGAGGGTGTACACTGATGAAGTTCTAGCCAACAGAGTTCTTATCGTGTGACTTAAATACCATATTGGCAATGCGTGTTGCATGAATGCCTTGGAGGCAATGCAGTGAAATAGGTGCTATTTGAGGGCTTCCGCACTTAGCTGCTGAAACAGAGACCCCAGACATGTTTGTCCTCGTTGGGAAGCATCAAGAGCCCTGCAGCTGTCATCTGCTCCGGAGAAAGGGGTTAGTTGTTCTGTGAAACTGTAGACAGTTCGCCTTTCAATAGACCACATTGAATTTATGATTCATCTTTGAACTTTAGCTCTGTGGCCAATGTTAAACATTTAGGCTTTTACTTTAACAAGCTGGTAGTTTTTAGAAAGAGACATGGAGTTCAGCATATTTAAACAATGTGATAAGTAACATCCCAACGTGTTGTTACATGCTCAGTTACATCTCAATTAAGAGAACAGTGTCGATTTCATTTTTAAAGACACCACTTGAGACATATGAAACTTTCCTGCAAGGGATCTCTCCAGATTAAGGTTTTGTAGACAGTGCTTCAGCCCACCTGTACTTCTTAAGCCTGATGTAAGTCTAATATATCCACCACAGAGCATGGAAGGGAGACCAGGCAAGTAGTTCATCAACAGGACCTTGTTTCCTACCATCTCTGATGTTCCTTAAATCCATAGCCTTACTGAAATCTTCTACCATATCTTCATGTTACCCTAGAGTACCTTCAATTATTTCCAGGTCCCAGACAGTGCATCAAGGTCTTACTTCTTTAAGTTTTCTCACACATCTGCTGTACCTTCTTTCTACAGAATTTTTGGATTCCCTCATGTCTGTCTATTTGCCTGTCTCTTTTTCTCTTCTCTCAGATTTAAAAAGACAGCAGCCTTCTGCACTCAGCCCTGTGCTGTAAATGCCTCGGGCTCTGCTCCGGGACCCTGTGGAGTCCGAGGTCAGTTTAAGGCGTTTCCAACTGGAAGTGCTGCAGCTGCCTGCAGCAGGGAGGGCTGAGCAGGTGTATGTTTTGTTCTGAGAGACACATTAACATAAAATACCAGTGATAATTAATAAACTGAGCTATGGAATTATGGTGGATGAAGGCTCTGACTCAATACTCTTGCTAGGTGTAGTTGCAAAACCTAAATCATTTGGAATTGGGGTCTTCACTGAATCAAAATGTTACTTAAAAAGCAGGAATATTGTGAGCATTCCCAAACCTCTTCAGTAGCTAGTGCATGTGGATGGGTGCCACAAGGCTTGTTGGTTCTTTCCTAGCTGTCACCCAACTGTTAGCTGCATTGCCAGGTCTGTGAGCTTCTCTTTCAACCAGTCCAACACTGATTTTTGTTCTTCGTTTCTTTTGTGACCCTGTATGAACCTTATTTTCTTAATCAAGCCCCTTAAAGATGTAATCTTCGTCCTCAGCACTGGTTTCCCCTATCCTCCATGCCCTCAGTTCACTGCTTTAAATTTACTGTGCGGTGCTACATCATCTCCCGGACCCTGCCAAACCTCTCATCCAGAACACATCGTGGAGCAACCTCTTTTGCATCCTCACGGAGTGTTCTTCCCACAACTCCCATATGCCCCCTGGAGGTTAAACACTTTCCTCTTTTGTTTTTCTATTTTACTTTCGGTGCTTTCCTGCCATGTCCTTTGACAAGCAATAATAAATTTATATTTGAAAAGAAAAACGAAGGGTGCTGACCCTTTACGGGGTGGTTCTCCTCCAGCCTGAAGTTCCTTTACATCACTCTGGCAGCATAAAGAGGTTTGACATGGATGCAGGCTCATACAAATTCTAGAGCCTCTTTGTTGCTCCCTGACTGGCTTTGATGTAAGTGAAAATTTATTTTACTTAATAAAGATGGGTAAAGTCCACGATAGATTTGTAATATTGATTAGGAGAGAGATCTTTTACATTCTGAGCAATATTTCCACCCCATTTCCAAAAAATGGGCTGAAGAACAGTTATACCAGCAGAAGAGTGCTTTTCTTCCAGCAGTTTGCTTTGCTCCAGGGAGGTACAAGCTGTACCAGCCAGAGTCCTCTTTTATCACTATGCACTGTCTCTATTCCCAGAAGTTTTGCTAGCAGGACTGCTCTTCCAAGCACAATTAACGTAAGTAGGATTTAGAGTTTCATGCTGTAATGCTATATATATTTAATATTTTAAAAGGGTAGACATGTAGCCTTATTGAAACCTCTTTGTTAAAGATATTGCAATGGGGTTGCATTCTGGTTTGTCTTTTTCTTGAAATGCACATATCTGGAAATTGCCTGCTGTGCGTAAGGAGACACTTCTCCTGATGTTGTATTTTTTTTTTCCTGTACTCTCAATTTGTTCCGAAGTAGCCTCAATAGTAAGTGGTATAGCAAAGAAGTTCTCTCTTCTGGTATACTGAAACAGCACTTGCTGTATTGTGGACAATTACTACATATGGAAAGGTTTTTATTAGACTTTTTTCTCGTCAACATAGAAAAGAAAAATAGAACTGGGGAAAAACCAATCTAAAGCCGAGGATGTGGTGGTTGTTATTGCATTGAAGTACCGTATCAGTCTGTCAGCACTATCTGAGCAGTCCCTGCTATTCCGTCATCCCTTTGTAACAGCTAAGGTTCCTGGCCAAAGGGTAGTTAACACCAGTATGACTTTCTTCCTGATGCAGAATCTTCTAGTCCAAGCTCCTCTGAGGAGGCCATAATAGCACAAGTACCACAGAAGCGAGTGGCCATACAGGTGTGGGGAGCAGGGATCCTACAGTGTAGTTGGAAAGCTCTTAGCCCCCTGGGCTCTGCTTCCCAGATCCCTTGTATTATTGCAGGTTGCTGCCTATTACCTTTTTCTCCTTGAGTGTGGGGAGTAAGAAAACCAGCAAGGTCAACTGAGTTTCTTTGGAGTGACCTTCCCTTTCAAAAAGATTTGCTCTCTAACAAAGGAATTTTTACTTGCTTTGCCACTTCAAGCATCTGGCTTCTTGTTAGGTCTTGAA